AGATAGGATTTGTAAGGAGTAAGACTGGAGGCGAGAATGAGAGTTAGGATATTCACTGCATTGCAAAACTTCCTCCCAAGGCTTGTTTCTAGTAGTTGTAAAAATTAAGTTACAGATTAACCCTAAGAACCCTTTAGGAGTTGCCGCATGGACAAAAAGCTTCAAGGTGGCTGCTACGATGACCCTCCTGGGGGGATGATAATGAACACTACCACCATCTCAGACCACTGAGCAAGTGCAAGGACCAAAGCCCTAACTGAGCATGCACCCACGATGCAACCAGGAAGGACAGAAGGGACCATCCCCAGAAGTGCGGTATTATGACACTGGCCTGCACCACTTAACCTCTTGCCCCATAAAGGACCTTGAACAGCTGCCCTCAGGCGGCTAGCTTCTCTGTAGCTACCCCCGCCCCCTTATGCACAAGTCTATCTCTTCTTTTAATAAACTGTTGCTTGCTTTAAAAAAAAAAAAAAAGAACAGGAGTTAGGAGGTATTGGGAGTGGTGTGAATGAGAGGATGGAGGCTGGAACTAGAGAACTGGATGAAGTGGTCAGATGTGTACTGGGTTGGTGGGATCATGAGAGACTGAGGCAATCCTTGAGATTTGGGACATAGGAATAGTGATTAGTTTCCGGTGAGTATTATGAAGTCGGTTTGCACATGTTGAGGTTGAATGCATTGGGGATCAGTTGCAGAGAACAGACTTCACTTTTGCTTTTTTGGCAGGAAGGGACTTATCACAGGGCATTAAATGGCTCATAGAATTATCAAGAGGGCTGAGGAAACAGAATCCAGCTTGAACTTTCAGGAGCAACCTCTAATGCCACTCCTAAGAACAGGGCTGCTGTGGTAGCTGCTGTCTCTTCAATAATCTTGCAGTCAGGAAGCTGGCCCCTCTAGAACCACAACACTGCTATAGTGAACAGGAAACCACTACAATCAGGAAGCTGCCGCTGCCACCAATTCTAGAACCAATGGGCGTCTGCATCAGCAGGATGGATGCTTGTCTCCCTCCACCCAGACTTGCCACAACTACTAAGCTAGTATCTGAACATTGGAACCTCTGCAAACACAGCTGTGGAAAAACCAAACGCCTCCACAGCTGTACTTGTCAGCTGAATGGACAAACATTTCAAAATCCTGTCCATCTCAGATTAAATGGTACTTGAGCCTGAGGTGCAAAGGAATAAAGAAAGTATATTTTTAGTTTTCCAACTTCTGGAGTGGGGGAAGGCACACTAGAACAGTGTTTTGCAAATTGTGGTTTGTAACTTAGGAGAGCTTCGTGAAATCAACTCAGGTGGTCAAGGAAAGATTTTTTTTTTTTCTTAGTTCTTGTTGGCATTGTAAGATGTTTCTTCCTCTGGATTGTGGTTAAAAAAAAAAAAAAAAAAAAGTGGAAAGCCACTGCACTAAATGTTGAGAACCAATCTTCCATTACAAGGTCTCAAGAGAGAATTATGAGAACAGCCCAACAGCTACCGAATACATGGGGTTTGATTTTAGGAGAAAGTCAAAGATGGGGGTATATTTTGCAGCTATTGTCAGAAAGGTGTCATTTGAAGCCCCTTTAAACACAGGTCCATTTTAGGAAAGAGATATCGAATAAGACATTAAAGAAAAAAAAAAAAAAGCCATGCAAGTGGACAAAGTCACCCAGGGAGACAGTATGGAGTTCAAAAGAAAGAGGTCTGGAACAGACCTTGAGGAAGGTGGATATCTGGTCTTGAAGGAGATGTCTCCTGCTTGGGCTGTGCTTGTCCTTTGTGCACTCTGGCATTTTTGTTTACTCTCTGTGTCCAGGGAAGCTCCAGAATGCACCAGAAAGACATGTTTCAAACACAGCAGCCTGGCAGAGCTGTAGCACTCACTATGCTGGATCTTAAGCGGGCACCTTGCATGGGCCCTGGCACCATGTTGGCACTAAGGATGTGTGTGTCTAATAGATGTAGAGAGCAGAGAAGTATTTATAAAAGATGGGAAGGACCTTTCGGACTCCAGAGGTGAAGCTCCAGCTCTGTGATCATAGAGGGGTTTAAACTCTCACTAGCCATGGTTAACATAGCAGCTTTGAGGCACCATTTATACTTTTCCAAGAGTATTTTTGCTGTACAGGAAAATGGCAGCAAGGGGTGGGAGCTGTCTGAGAAGATGTGCTGTAATAGCAAATTAAATGTTCATCCATAGGATAATGGACAAACTATGGCATATTCAAACAAAAAAATACGTAGCAGTTAAATGAATGAGCTAGATCTACATGTATTAGTTTGAGTAAATCTCAAAAACTTAACATTCCATGAAAAAATTCAAGTCACAGAATGTATAAATCTGGATATCATTTACCAAAGAGGCATATGTTCTAGGTAGACCGGGTTCCCAATTAGATAAATTATTTGTTTTACTTGCACAGATTTGCTTTTACATTTGCTTGTAACATTCCCAGGGGCTGGTTTAACCCTCAAGAGTGATGGAATTTAACTGTAATTTTTCTGGTTTGTCCACTCCCTATGTATCTATCAGTTGAGCTATTAATGATTATTCTCTTTTATTTATTTTTGTTTCGATACATGATTCTTTTAAATAATGTGCCCTTATGTCATTAGCTGTTGGCTTTCTGAGCACTGCTTGACATAGGCTGAGATTAGGGGCCACTCACAGTGTGAGTCAGGCCCATCTGCTCTGTGGATGGTGAGTAAAAACCAGAAATGGAATCTATTTTGAGTTAGAAAGTGAGATAGAAGAAAATTTGCTTAGTTCACAAACACTTAGGTTGCATGCACCTTTTCGAGGCATAAGTTGGTTTAAGCAAGATTCATTTGTCCCACACAGTTAGTGTATAACACAAATGCCAGATGACCCCTTTATTTTCTAAGTCTGAGCTCTCAAGACCTGTCTCTATTTTGACCACATACCATTTGGCTTGCTGAATTCAGCATGTCTTCCAATGCTCACTTTCCCCAAAGAATCTATTCACAGAAAGAGTTAAAGAGAAATAGAGACTTTACTAGATATTTCATAGAGGAGGCCTAGGAGGAGACTGACATAGCACACTGCCTAGCAAATGACTTAACATATTCCCTTAGCCATTTTTGTTTCCCACGTCCTTCTCATCCATACCACCACTGTTGGGTTTTTTTTCCTTCTTTTAAGTCTCTTCTAGCCTTTGCTGGATTTTTAACTCTTTTTCTTCTCTCTCCTCCTTCTTCAGAAAAACGCAAATTTTGTTAGATTGTTTTAAATAGTGGTGAAGGGTGCATCTTTTCTTACTGAAGCATAACCTTAGGGGCTTATACTTCAACTTAAATGGTTTGTCACAGTCCTTCAACACATCAGGTGCTTTTCCAAAGATGATGCATAGATGTCACATTTGATGTAGCTAGAGAAATCTCATGGCTACCCGAATCAGGAGAGGAGGTTGCTGCCGCTCAGAAGTTCTTCTTACCAATTTCAGGGTCATCATTGTCTATCAACAACTTTGTGGGTCCTACCCCCCCCCCCAGACTGGTTTTCTGAGAGGTTTTTTTAAAGCAGGGAACAGAAATATATCATGCAGGAGATGGCAGCAGCTGTTCCCTGGCTAAATGACTGCATTGCCTTGACTGCTGCATGCTGACTGCGTGTCTGCTGAACGTACAGCACTTTCCTGTCTGCTGCTGTCTTATCGTCAGTCTTAACTGGAGTGTAGTCAGGCCTGGTCAGATGGTTTTCCAAATACCCATGTGGCCTTCTTAGATCAGTTTGGTGGTCCTTTCTATTACATCTTTTAGATTCTGTGGTTCACACCATTCTGTACGGCACCCTGAATTTTGTCCCCTTATACTGATACTGCTGAGATGATTTGCCAGCCAGATGCTACTGGTACCATCAATTTCATACTGGTGGGGGTAGGGGGGGCCTTCCTTTGGTTGCAGGCTTCCAGAACCCAGTCTGGAATTTCAGTTCACAGGTTTGGTCTTCTGTTATGGAAGAGACTTTGGAGAGATTCAATCTCGGCCCCCTCATATTTCAATACTTGGATCCTAAGTTCCAGGGAGGGGAAGGTGTAGTGTATTCTTATAATTTTATGTTGCCTGGGTATCCACTGTGAATACAGGTTTAACTTTCTCATACCAGAAGCAGGACTCAGTCACCCTTGACGCAGTTTCCAGTTCTACACCACACCCAAATGGCTCAAGCTGGTGGGTGGCCAGAGATGAGGACTGAGAGGCATCTCTCTGCCTAGCAGACTGGGCTCCCCACTTTCCAGACGTTTCCTTCAAGGGACCATTCAGGCATTTGCCTGCACACCTAAAGTTGATGAGAAGCTCCATTCCCTTATAGGTACAGCTAGTTGCTAAGTGTTCTCTCTGCCTGACTCTTCATTCCTGCCTTGCATGACCCAGGTACAAAGGACTGCCTTCCTGACTCATCACACCCTCCTTGCCAGAATCGGTAAGTAAGAATCTTTAAAATTTCCTATTATGGTGGTGTATTGCATTTGCACCTTCCGTCTGAAGAACCAGGGGCTGCCCCAGGCGGGGTTCTCCCCAGGATGCTGGGGAAAACATGAGGCATGGCTCCCAGTGCCAGAGCAGTGGTCAGGCAGGTGTAATCTGGACACAGGTCAGACAACAGCCACAAGGGTATCTGCCAGTTTAAACAAGTTTCCTGTGTGAGGAATTCCCTGGTCTTGGGTTGGATGAGTAGGCAGTAGGTCATCTGCCAGGTAAAGGAAGTATCCCATGAAAGACACACTGTAAACACCCACATCCAGCTCCCCTTCATTTCCTGTTAGGGCAGTGTTGCTAGTTGCTCTGGTACTGGAACCCCAATGTATTTGGGGTTCTCAAAACAAAAGAAATGGTTCAAGGTCATGCGGTGACTTAGAGGTTAGGCTGGGGCATATATCCATGCCTTGTGATCCCATACGGGGCTCTGTCCACTACATTACATTGCTTCCTTGCCTTCTATCTGAAAGATATGTCACTCAAAACTCTCTTTTTGATCCTAGAGATGTATCTTCCCAAGAGACAGAAGGAGAAGTATACTATTTAATATCTGTCGTGGTTTCAGTCTTGGTCTAAAATTTTCTGAGAAAGTTGCTTTCTTCCTGAAGGCCAGGAGAAACAGTTCAGTCTGAACTACTGTATAAGAAGATGGATAACACATTGTCAAGAGGAAAGGTGTCTGTGTCCACATACTGGAATTTATCCACATTGACTGATACGGTGGTGTTGGCCTGCAGGTAATCCAGCAAGAACTGGGAGAGATTCTGGTATATGTTTTTTGTTTGCACTTCAGACTCACACACTGTCACCAGGGCCTGTTTTTTGACCTCTTCGTTGATGAGAAGCTCCAACTTCAGGTCGACAGAATGATTTGGGCATTGCATGAGAAACTGCAGTTGGCAAACGATGACATACCAACCTGGGAACTGGATCACCAGATTCCCATCTCGATATCTGACTCCGTGGACAATGCCGTCTTTGTTCCAAGACAACTTGGATTGGCTTAGATGCTTTGACACTGGGAAGAGAAGTATAAAAAACAGACTTATTGAGCAAATTGCAGGTGCAGATTGGAAAATTCTGTCTTTATTCAAGTTTGCTCCTTCAAAACCCCTGTTTTCTATAATGTGGCTGGCTGTGCCTACATCTGAATATCTTCCATGTAAGTCCCTCTAGGGTCTGCTTGTTATTCTGGGCACAGGTAGAAAACCAGCCCTCTTCCTTTTTCTCTAAAACTCAAAGATGGAGGATCAAAATGCACATGGTACTGTACATAATTATTATCATGTTATCTTATAATTATTATCTTTCCCTTTTCAGGCTATAAGCTGCTGGACTGTATTCTTCACCAGGTCTGGACTATCATGTTCATTCATGAATGAACATTTGGTGGTAAGCATTGCAGAAAATACCAGAGATAGCACATTCAATATTGTTCAATTACCAACCAATTTAGGTATCAAGATGTTCAGGTGAATCTCCATTAATTTTCATATTTAACCATCCATTGTCTGAATTTTTGGATGTCTCCTTTCTTTAAAAGGGCAACCAGACATAATTTTGTAGGTTTCTTATGTGCACAGGAAGGGGCTTTTACCATCCAGAATGTACAGAAAAGCAAAAAATTAGCAGATCCTCTAAGCCGATATATTTGTGTTGGAAGCCAAGTCTCTGGGTCCTCACAAGTGAAAATTAGCACTGACTGGAAAGGGTGCCTTTCAGAACCAGGAAGCTGGTGTGTTAGTTTTAATTGCTTCCATGCTTTTCCTTTAAACCATGTTGCAATTCAATTGAAGAGGGTAAAGTAATCTAACTACAAAATTGAATTTTTAAAATGGGCAGAATGGCTATTCAGAGAATCTTGGCCATCTCCTCCATATCTCATTCTTTTGCAGTGTAAGTGCCTCTTGCTGTTTCATTTATAAGGGACCTCTTACCTTAAGTACCTGCAGTATGCAAATAGGCCCTGTGCCAACATGTTCATTAAGCTGTCAGTCTGGGGACAAGGCAATCTTGTGGTTCCCTTGTGAATAACTTCTTAGAGGCAGAGATTAGGAGCCTGCCTCCTTTGCATTAGGAAAAGGACTGTGTACTTGACCGAAACTATAGGTAGCTGAATAGAGAAGGGTGATGGAGGGGGAGGGACAAGGATGGTGGGGGCGGGGGACACAATGCCTTTCCAGCCCAGGTAGGCAACATGAAAGAGTGAATGGGGCTGAGGAAAGAGGAGCTTTGCTGCTCTGGAGAGTAACACTCTCACCTTTCTCCCCAAGGCATTCAAATTCAAATTATAAACAATATCATGCAGGCAAAACAGAACACAATCTGCAAGTCACATTCGGCCATGGGCCTCTAACTGTGACCTCTGGCTTGACTTAGAAGTTGCTGAAAGGCCACAGGAATTGGCCCTCATATAATTAGGTTTCCCTGGATTCAGTTACTGACCTTGGAGGTAGGCCCATGACTTCTTGAATGGAGCCTTTTTCAGGATACACAAGAGGTCCTCCGAGCAATTTCCTAAAAATAAAGAGATCAGCATTAAATGTCTTTTGTTATCTGGGAACTGGAGGCACCAGATCTTTTTCCATGACCTTTGATGCAGAATTGCCATTCTGTTTCCATTTTGGGGGTAAAAGGGAACCCTTTTTATTATTTATTTTGCCATTAAGTATCTTTGGATTTTTATTTTTTAAAATTTATTTTTTATCGTTTGCTTCCACTTGGGCTTTTACAAAAGCCTGTGGAAGTCGGGGAAAGGAAACAAATAGGACCTGAGTTCTATCATGTGCCAGGGGCCATTCTTGTCTTGACATTCTTGTCTCAGCAGCAAGTCTGTGAGGGAGGTGTTATTAAGTCCCTTCTACAGATGGGAGAAATCTGGGGCCAGACAGGTTGAGTACATTGTCCTATGTCATTCAGCCAGGAAATGGTAGTCAGAATGATAATACAGATAGCAATTATTGCTCTCCTGCCTACAGCATGGCAGATACTAGTCTGGGTACTTTTACCGATATCAGCTAATCTAGTTCTCAGACTAACCTAGTGGGGTTACCCCTGACGCCTAGACATGGTCAATGATATATTCAAGGTCAAGCAAGTTTGCAGAAATGCTGGGATTCCATGTGTCAGTGTCTGATTCCTGAGGCTGGGTTTCCTCCTCTAGGCCGTTTTGCTAGACAAGATAAAAACATCTTTGCATTCAATTTTAAGAGGACATAGGATTAAAGATATCTTGGCAGGAGGCCTACTATCCAGAGCTTCCTTGGCTGAGGCAAGCACGTGTACATCATTATGGTATTTAAGAAATAAAATGTCTCATATATTCACTAGTGATGGTGGCTTAGCTTTTTTCTTATTATAGTTAACTATTTTGTATGCGGAGAACTAAGTTACACATTTCCTGTGACAACTCATCAATTCAACTCACTCAGAGCAAATCCCTTCTCTTCTTTGAGCCTTGATTTTTCCTAATCTGTAAAGCTGGGAAATTCCCTGAGCTGACACTGATATCTTTTTGGTGATGTCACCGGAGATGACCATTCAGTCCATCCATCAGACATGAGGCAGCCACAGGCCCATCAATGGAGTGGTCACACCCAGTGTATTTCTTCACTGCATCTCCAAGCAGTATCTGTTGGGCTCACAACCTTCACCATTGTCCTCTCTGCCCAGGCCTGAGAAAGTCCCTCCTGGTCTTCCTCACAGTTCCATGTGTCTTTGGAATGGTTGAAAGTTAAGTGAAGAGTTCCCTCTGCTGTCTGAACAAGTTCATTGCTAGGGGTACCTCGAGCAGAAGTAGGGGCAAGTTTTCGTCCTTATCTGCTCTCATCCCCAAAGAGGTTCTGGTCTAAAGCTCTCCATGGTGATGAAGACCAGTGGACCAGCTGCCATTCTCTGGATCTCATTCCTCACTCATCCTGTAATCAGTGTTCTGACCCTGCCTGCTGAGGTCCACAGCCCACACTCTAGGGTGTGTAGATTCAGAACCACAACACTGAGGGCTGCTTATGTTCCTACTGGGCTGTGTCTACTGTTAGGGAGATCCCCAGTCCAGCCTCCTCTTTTGGGGGTGTAGAGCATCAACTCAGAAGGAACTACATGGGCTGGCCCCGTGGCTCACTCGGGAGAGTGCAGCACTGGTAGTGTCGAGGCTGCAGGTTTGGATCCTATATAGGGATGGCCGGTGCACTCACTGGCTGAGCGTGGTGCCAACAACACCAAGCCAAGGGAGACAGATCTGACTGGATCTCTGCTTGGAATCCCTTTCTTGGAATCCCTTTCTGACTTTCTTTGCCTGCAGGATCAGGCCCAAGCTCCCCCTCAGCATGGCATTCATGGTACCTTGGGGTGTGACTCCTACTGAACTCTCTGGTCTTATCCCTCACCTTCCCTCCTCTCCTTGCACTCTACTCCCAATAGCAATAGCAATAGCAATAGTAATAGTGATAGCAGCAGCAGTGATAGTAATATTAGTAAAAACAACTAATACGTGTTGAGTAATGGCTATTATCCAGGTACTCTGTTAAGCATGTTACATGCATGCTTAACATGCTTAACATGCTTAACTTTCATAACCACCCCATGAAAGAGGTACTGTAATTATTTCTATCTTGTACATAAGGAAACCAAGGCTTGAAAAGGGTAAGGGACTTGCTTACATTCACACAGCTGGCCAGTGGTGGAGTGGAGATTCTAACTCAGGCCCAGAGGATTGTTGACCACTCTACCGGAGTTTGGGGGCTTGTGGTGCCCCCAAACACACCATGTTGATTTGTCATTCCACCTTGGCACCTGCAATTCCCCCTACATGGAATCCCCTCCTTCACCAGGCAAGTTATTTGTCATCTGAAACATAGTCCAAGATGCCTTCTCTGACCCTCCCCTCTGTCTGCTCCTCCATCGGACCTGTTTGCCTCCTCCATTGGTCCGTGAGCCTTCAGGGTACAGACTACTGTTTACACATCTCCACCGTCCAGCCCGGAAGATGCTTTGTAAATGTGGAGCGGAATCATCTAGTCCCTTTGTCTTATTTTCCCCCGTGGATACCAAGTAGGAACTTAGGGCATGAATGGGGTGAGTGGGGATGCTTGGCCTGCCTTTCCCCTGGGGGCCGGAATAGCATGGGGCCTTGTCCTCCCATAGCTTTGCAGGTCAGGTCAGTTGAGACAGGTAGATAAGACTCATGCCTGGGCTGAGGCCAGCACATCATACCAAGAATAGGCTCTGCCCAGTGGCCGAAGGCCTCTCACACCATGCCACTTGCAGTGGCATCTACATCAGGTGAGCTTCTGTAAACAGGTGGTCATAGAAGCACGAGCTCAGGCTTGCCTATCATGCAGCTTCTTTTGTTGTTTTTTTCCCCTTTGGTCTTCACATGCTTAGTGGCATGACCTCAGTTGTAATTCTAAGAAACCCAAGGATGGAAAAAAAAAAAAAACAACAAACTTATTTTGAAGCATTTACATTTCCTGAAGTCAAATGGCATAGCTTATTTTAGTTTTTCTTAAAGAATCTCATAGAAGGTTTCAAGTTAATGGAAAATCACGGGCAGCCTCTTTGGAGAATGACGTTGCCAGAGCTGGTGTAGAGAGGAGACTGGAAGCAGAATGAAAAAGAATGCGGCTGGTGAACCTGGCTGGAGAAGACCCCAGAGGAGGCATGATGACTGTCCTTTAACATTTGACATGACTGTCAGCAGGAAGACAGTGCAGCCTGCTCTGTGGGGCCCAAACACCAAGGCTCCAAATGGAGGCTGAAGGACATGAAGCCCTGAACTAATGGCTAACACTGCTCCCATCCTCATTTCTCAGAGGCAGCAATGGAAAGTCCTGCACTGAGGACAGCCAAGTCACAATGTAAGTGGTAGAGTGGGTAGCTCAAATATTTGGCCAGTCAGTGCTGCTCAGACATTGAGTGAGCTGCTTTGAGGTCAGGAGGCTCTTACTGTGAGCTAGATAAACATTCTCTGGGTCATCAGCCATGTGGCTTGAGTCTCCTAATCATTACCTTGTGAGTCCACAATATGACTTTTTTCTTTGGTTAGGAAGACAGGAAGGAGTGACATAAACAGATGGTGCTACATGCAGCTGGAATCCTGCAATGTCCCTGGAATTTTGAAGGCTAGAAGAGTAGGGAGTAACACACACCTCTGTTTTATTCGTTTCCCAGCTCAATGTGACATCTTGAGGGGTTGAGATTGCAGAACAGAACATTAGGCAGGGGGAAATGAGAACTGTCTACAAGTAGTGGCTGAGATGATGACTTGTGAGTTAGTGTCCCTATCTAGATAAAGAGCAGCGTGGATTTGATTACACAGAAGGGCCCTTCTAGCTTATTCTAGCAGGCTGTGCAGACTCAGCTGCCCACTGCCAGGCCTGCTACAGGATGGGGGCAAAATCAGTCCCAGCTCCAACTATCTGTCTTTGTGGGCACCTTGCTCTACCTGAGGTAGGAGACTGTGTCTTCACACATTCAGATTTTCAGACACCTACAGTGATAGAACAGAACATTTTAGCTCCAGGGAAAATCTAAGTTATAAATAGTCTGGTTCTGTAAATTGCCTTCCCAAGCTTTTTTCTTTTCTAGAAGGACGTAGACCCTTCTTTGGGTTTGCTTGGAAGGCTGGAGAGAAAAATGTCTCAATGAAACCCTCCCGGCCAATTGCACAGAGGAGAGAGATAGGAAGAAAGAGAGGTTGCTCAAGGTGGTGACTAGACTCTACCTTGAGATTTCATAATGTTGAACTGAAAGGGCCACTAGATGCCATGTTCACAGAGATCCTAGTTTTATGAGTGGGAAGACTGAACCCAGAGAGACTGAGTATCTGGGTTCAGAACACAGGCTCCTGACTCCCAGGCCAGGGCTCTGTCCATGTCTTTTAGTCTTCCCATGGAGCAGGGAGGGTTAAATGCAGGGAGAAGTGAGTTTGCAGCCACCTCAGACATTGGAACTGAAAACTGATGAGACAGCTGGAGGTGCTGGGAAAACAGGCAGTAATGAGCCTCCGGGATCTGTCTGGTGGGAGAATGCCAGCAGATGACTTCAGGCCTATGTGCTGAACCCTGCCAAGTCACAGTCAGGGCACTTGGGCTTATAAATGGAACAATGCTCAAGGCAGCTCTACTGTGGAAAAACAAAGCATGCCAAACATTCCTGCCAGATGGTATGTGGTCTGAGTGCCAGGTAACTTCCAGCTCTACAGCACCTTTGATATAAGGACCAGGCAGACACAGCACATCTCAAGAAAAGCACTGGGTTCTGGTAAAGGCTTTTAGCTTTAGACCTGTCACATCCCTTACTGAGCCTCAGTTATTGCATCTATAAAATGAGGATAGTAACAGTCAACCCAAATGTATGGACGTTGAGAAGACACAATGAGATTATGGATGTCAGGTGGCCAGGGCAGCCGGTGGCTGGAGGAGACACTCAGCAAACGGTAGTCTCTTTCTCCTCACTTCTCTTTTCATTGTTGTTATGATGTCACACCTTAGCAATGCCACTTAGCAGAGTGAATGGGC